ACTTGGAAGGTTTTACTCAGAAAGAAGAAAACAGGTTCCAGATTTAAATACAGCTCCTTTCTGTCTGCTAAGTCTAATTTTTTCCTTTATAGGAAGAAAGGTTAATAGACTGAATACATCCATGCATAGGTTTGTTGATTTGAGAAGATTCACAAAGAATAAAAAAAAAATTCCCTCTTCTTAAATGATGTTTATTATTTCAATATAGAAGCATATTACATGACTAGCAATAGACTAGCAGAACTTTTAAGACTTTTGAAAAAAAAAAAGCTGCTACAAAATAATTATGTTGATGTTTAAAAACAGAATAAGTGAAAGAATGATTGTAATCTTAGTGACATTTGGACCGGGTTTAACCACAGCATGGTTGTCATCTCATGGCATGTGATATTGAGTTTTACAGTTAGGATTTGCAGGAAATGAGTAATTGTGACTTTAAATAATTTTATTGAAGAGTACCAAACTTTCTATTTTTGTTTACATTTTACATGCTTCAAGGAAAATAATGCATTAAATATTGTTCAATGTTTTCATTAAGGCTTTTATTTTCTAATCTGAAAAAAAAAAGCTCACAGATTTTTCAGTACATCTCACTACAACTTATTGCAAATATTTACGTCCTTCTAAATCTGTGCTGCTAGACCCTTTTATTCGTTCAGTACGTTATGCAGTCCTTGAATTCAAACATTATTACCTGCAACATCTTTGTTGTCTGAGCCACTGCACTAACAAATGTGCTAGCTTTTTATTTTCTATCTCTGAAGCATTGCCACATATTGGATTCTCTGTGCTACTGTGCAGTGACTCTTAAAATGCTTGGACTATCATATTCTCCGGCCGAAAACTGTGCTTGCTTTATGAACATGTAACGTTCTGAATTTCAAAACCTTATCTGTGGCCTAGAAAGGCTGCCCCTCCCTTGGCAGGGAGGGGAAGCTCAATGAGCCACACATTGAGTTCATGTCAAAAAAAAATTCCTGTCCCCCTTACTAAAGAACCCACTTGGATACTGAGCTACCATGGGCTATGTCTGAGCAGAGGTTGTAGGTTATATTCATGCATGGTCCTTGGTTGGATAAACAGTCTCAGAGAAGACCCCTGTGTCCAGATATATTTGGACATTTTGGGGCTTCCTGTCTCTTCTAGGTTATACTAATTCCTCCTTCCTTCATATGATTCCCTATACTCTGCTGAAGGCTTGGTTATGGGTCTCAGCATCTGCTTTGATACACTGCTAGGTAGAGTCTTTCAGGTGCCTTCTGTGGTAGGCTACTGTCCTGTTACTTGTTTTCTCCTACTTCCAATGTCCATCCCCTTTGTCTTTCTAGATGAGGATTGATCATCTTACCCTTCTTCTTCCATTAGTTTGAGAAAACAGTTTTATGCTCCCGTGGCCTTTGAATTGGGTGTGACCTAAATAACTCATGAGTTGAAAATGTCAGGTAACTTATGCTTTTACAAAATAGGATTTGAAGCAATTGAAGGAAGGCAGGATGGTAAACATTATTAAAATGTTGATGGGGATATCATCAATGTGTTATATAGCATTTATGAGACATCCATAATGAAATATATTATGTGTTACATAATGTGTTTTTAAAACCTTAATTCTGGTCATAGACAAGCTGTGTCTACCTTAACGGCTCAAAAGCTTGTATTAATTATTGCTAAATAAAACATTTAACAGCAGCCTTTTTCTCAAATGATGTATGTGTGGTGACTAGGAGAAGCTAAATTCTGTCCTCTCCAGATCGAGGGGAATATCAGATATCACTAGTCTGGGAAAATACCCAAATTAAACGTTCAAAATATAGTTGCCATTGAATTCACATTACATTTGCGCTACTGAACAGTCTGAAATGTCAAAGGTGAACTATCTATAGCTCAGAACCATCTGTAATTAATAAAAAAAGAGAGAGGTTGTTGTGAATGATTGCTCCTTCTATCTGTAATTTTTTTTCCAAGAGATTTTGGATTAATTCTTTTGTTTCATCTTCTTTGCTTATGTGTTCTCTGTCTCACTTGGTCTTTTCAGAGAATGTCTCCCTCTAAAACACTGCAAACCTCTTCTCCAAATCTACAACAATCCTAATTGAAATAAATAGCAGAAGATACTCAGCTTCCTGGGGGAGCCTTCTTTTTATTACTTATTTTTTTTAACGTGCATGCATGTGTGTGTGTTTATGTGTGTGTGAGCAGATGACTATTAGAAGCTGATTCTCTTCTACCATGATGTGACTTCCAAAGATCAATCTAAGATACCAGTCTTGGTGGAAGAGCAATAATTCATTGAGTATCACTAGCCCTGCTGGGAGCCTTTTTCATAGTATTGGCTGGTATACATTTAGTCCGAAATCTTATTCTTCCTATCACAGTCTTACATCTGAATATTGATGCAATAAATTCTCCTGAAGGTAAAGACATTTTGGTATATTTTTTTTTATTTCATGTGCATTAGTGTGAGGGTGTCAGATCCCTCGGAATTGGGGTTACAGACAATTGTGAGCTGTCATGTGGTTGCTGGGAATTGAACCTGGGTCCTTTGGAAGAACAGACAGTGCTCTTAACCACTGAGACATCTCTCCAGCCCCCCCATTTTGATATTTTTTATGCTTCATAGCCAACCAAAATTTTAAGCCAATGTTCTTCCTCAAAAAAATTAATAAACTAATGAACAAAAAGTTTTATTTTATTTGCAATTATATTTTCCCTACAACGGTACTTTCTACGTTAGCGGTTTAATAACAGTATCAGACATATTATAATATAAAGCTTCTGTGTTAACAGAAGGAGAAAGTGCAGGACAGGAGGGGAGGAGGGATAAGACTAAAACGAAGATGTAAAGTGAATTAGAAAAATGCAATTCCCAAAAAATAAATGAATAAAATAAACTGAGTTACTTATTAAAAACAGAAGTTGGGGTAGTGAGATGGAATCAATATGCCAGATGAAGAAATCTGACTCCTGCGAGTTGTCTTGCAACCACTCACTTATAATATTTATGGATAAACACAGACACACACACAAACACAAACATGATAAATATAATGTAATGACCATTTTTAAATACCCATATGGTAGAGTGTGGATTGGCACTTCCTGCCTTTGAAAGCATATAGTTTGAAATAAGAATTGTCATACTAAAAGAATAAAAGAAGAAAAATTGGATAACAGCTAAGTATGGTATTGGCAGCTACAGCAATCCCATTATAAGTAAGATAATATTTAAATCTTTTAGTCATTTAACTACTAGAATGCCCTAATACTATCAAAAAGCTCTTCTTATCTTTCAAATGCTTTCCCATTTGCTATGAATTTGTAAGAGCATTAAGGCTTCACTATCACCATAATTAGGTGGGCTAAAAAAATAAAGCACCTCTGTATTTTGCCAATTCCTGATTATTCAGACTGATGGCAGAAAGCCTCTGCGTGGATTACTAAAACCTGAGGTCATTCATAGCAGATGAAAATTACTCTGGGCTCATTATGTCTATCCCATTGAAATATAAGTACATCTATGAGCTTCAACCAAACCACCATTGATGCTTTAATAAAAGTTCTTCAGCATATACATACAGAATTTTGAAAATAGAAAAAAAGATAAAATATATTAGCTTCATGTAGAATAGGCCGATTATTCAAGACATCGGTATAGTTGCCTAAAATTGACCAAGTCTAAAGAATTAAAATATAAATGTTTGGGATTACTAGCCATGGGAAATAACAGAGTACATGAGTTTTCAAATGAATTCACAGAGTAGAAGATCTCACTTTATGAGAACTTCCTTACACGACCAGGCTTCAGAAAAGTTAAAACTATTAACAGCAAACATTTTATGTTTGATTCTACATAACACAGTAGCAGTCTTGAAGCTGTTTTCTAACTCACTTATGTATATTCTTTGCAGTTACTGGCACTTGTTAGGATCAGACAATGGAATAATTTCCCTGAAGACAAAACTGAAGAACAAGACATGCTCTGCAATTTTATAATTATTACAGTTTTTCTAGTGTGAAGGCGTTATATTAGAATACATAAATCCTGAGTTAGTAAGAAACACAAAACATAATCTGAAAATGAGATAAAGAGCCAAAATATACCTTTGAAACCTCCATATGGCATAGAAAATATCCCAGATAATTACGCGTTATAATAGAACCAGAGAAATTTTAAGCATATATTTTTTAATGGACTTGTCAATCATTCTGTGTATTTGTATGTGGCGTGTGTGTGTGTGTGTGTGTGTGTGTGTGTGTGTTTGCACAAGTGTGGCTTCATTTTTGTAACTGTGCTTCTGAATGCGTAAACCCAAGATTGAAGGAAGCTTTCTTCCTTAGTTACTTTCCAGCTTGTATGTTAAAGAAGGACTCCTTGCTGAATCCATACATAGCTCATGTTTTTGGTTAGTCTTATCTATCCAGCTTTTTCTGGGTATTGTCATCTCCTCTCAAATCTGCTAGGACTAGCGGCAAGGCATGATGCCGACCAAGCATTTCCATGGCTGCTGAGGAGACCTATTGCAGTGTTCATGCTTATATGACAAGTAATTTATCTGCTGAGCCATGCCCCTATTCCCCAATTTGCAAATTTAATAATAAAAGTTTGGACACTTCTATGTGCAATACCAGTCTAAAACTACATATGATAGTTGTATTTCTTAAACATAATTTCACCAATAAAGATTATAAATTATACTTCTTGGTCTGCTCCCTTTGTAATTGTGAGCACATTTAAGTGTGTGTCTTTTATGAAATTGTTATACAAATCTCAGTTCCTATAAGTGATTAAAATAGGTGCATTCCATACGTGTTAATTTGCATCCTTGATTATCTGAATGGTCTGATATGCGTGATCAGGAAGCTTACCAAAAACTCTTGAAATTGATGCAAAGACTGTCTTCTTTTTAACTTGTGTATATACTAGTCAAAGTAATACAATATTCACAAAAAAGCAGTGCCTCTGTTCCAGGAAAAGCTTAGTGTCTCATTTCTCTTGACAGTGTGCAGACCTGGGTTCTTCAAAGCTTCTCCTCACAGCCAGAGCTGCAGCAAATGTCCACCTCACAGTTACACCCATGAGGAAGCTTCCACCTCTTGTGTCTGTGAAAAGGATTATTTCAGGAAGGAAACTGATCCGCCCACAATGGCATGCACAAGTAAGGAACCCCCGTGGCTATTTGGGGATGCTACTTTTCACCAGTTTGGAGAAACAGCGTGATGAAGCCTGTTATGTTTTATCAACATTTCCCTGTAAAACAGGCATGTTTATCCTTCGCAGGACAGTTTGTTTTTCTTTCCCGAATTTCAAATTTCCCTTAGTATGCATTGAAAAACAAATGTCCTTTTATTGCTGATTGTCAAAGCATCCTTTTTCCCTGATTTCAAATTCAACACCTGAGGCGCTAATACACATTTTTTTTTTTTTTTATTTTGTGGTTTAACTTAGTATTCTTGATTTTAGCAAATCTTTTTTGTCTTTTCACATCAGATTTGTTATATACTTTTTGTAAGACAGACTTTTGAACTAGAAACTGCAATTAATGGCAAATACAACAAGTCATATCCAACATGACCAAGCTGTAGGGTTCTCCAGAAGGTCATTTGCCAAAATATGTAGGCGGCATGGCAATCATGACAATTGAGGTGGCAAGCCAGATTAGAATAATAGATAAAACCCAACTTCCAACTTAGGCTTTCGTGTATCTGCAAAATGTCCTGTTAGCAAGAATTGTTAACCATTATCAGAGCTGTGCTTGTGAACAAATAAATCAGTGTAGATAAACAGTAAACATTATTTTCAGTGTATCTGCAGCAAGGATATCTCTCTAGCCAAGCCTTGTATTTTTCTAATTTTAACACATTTTGAGAAGCACACTGTGGCTGTTTACACATTTGTTTGCTTGGTGATTCCACATAAAGATATTGTTTACTAACAAAGTATTTATAAAAAAGGAAAAAAAAGAAAAAGAGAGAAAAATATCTTTCATCATAATGTATAGCACTCATGAATTACTTATTAGTTCCCAGTAAAGTCTATATATACTCAGTGTTGCTCACAACACTTTCTATCGTTTTGTCATTGATCTGTAGTCAGAAATAGAATAGATAATTTCATATGAAATAATCACAATGTGATTTTAAACAAATTTCAGTGGCCAGATTTCATACGTAACTGAAAATAATCACTCTTTGTAATTCAAGTCCAATGCTTTCGGGACCAAATGGTTGCTAGGGGAAACATACTTTCTCAGTAAGTTACAGTGGAGTGATACAGCTCTTGTGTTATATAACTTCTGTGTGCTATTGGAATTCAAACAATGTTTAATATGTAAAATGGAAGAATTATCAAACAGCAGGGAATGGATGGGGCCATAAAAGAGTGGCACACTAAAAATATAACACTGAGTCATCTCGTTTTTCACAAAGCTGTATGTTAGCAGCCTTCTTTAACGGGATCGCCCTCAATTTACATTGTGTTTTAGCATAAATCCAAATGTACATTTCTGCTTATTTATTTATTTGGGAATCAGGAGGAGGCTATAACTTGGTACCTACACTCCTTTGGAACTAAAGCACACAGACTTCACATTTTCTCAGTCTTCAGCTCTGTGAATTACTACTGCTTTGTTGAAAGGAAGAATAATCCGTACTCATTTTTCACAAAGTCCCACTGTGAGTGTGTGCGTGTTTTTTCAGTATATTTGTAATATCACAGCGTGCGAGGGCTTGGGATACCCTCACGGCTTGGCTAATGTTCAGAGGGAAATCTTGAACTTTGTTCTGCCATTGGCGCTGTGAACTTGCATTTATAATTTTGAAACCTTTAAATATATGAACTATGGAAAGAGAGTTTGATAAATCTATAGGACAAAATCAAACAGAAAAAAAGACAAGTATATGATGAACGTATTTAAGCAGGAGTTCTTCTCCAAGCTATACCATAGTCCACATATAATCATATCTACTGTTGGGGAAGGGGTGTGTTTTAGATGTAGGCTAAATCAGATCCTTTGATTTTATCTCTAGCTCATAGTATTACTTGAGTTACTTTTCTTGGTATCATGTGACCTAAAGTCGTGGGTGTGTTATTATTCCCAAAGTTATAAGTAAGAGAAGCCAGATAGGTGTACTTTTATTGAGTTAAGGAAAAGAAAGAAATGAAGTAGAGTTCAGCTGGGAGACAAAAATTAGAATAATCTGACGCATTTCCGGTGCATAGCATCTTCTTTCTCAAATGATAGACCATTTTTTTTTCACCTAAATTACACTATCTCCAATTTTTCACTATTTAATCATCTAAAGTTTGTACTAAGCAATGTAATGTATTTATATCTTTAGAAATGGCTGGAAGTTAAAAGTAATAGTTGAAATAGAAGTATAGAAGTTTGATGTTAGCCTTCAAGGGCTTGGCAACAGGCATTCTTGTGGATTGTTTGAGGAAAGCAAGCCACATCCTTAGATATGGAATTGTGCTATGTAATTGGAATTGTAAAATCTCTTAAATAGTAGTTTTCCTTTAAAATTATTTTAAAATATGTTCTTTAAATCTGATGGATTACTGTTGTGTTGAAATAAACATTGAGGCTTGTATTTGGAGGACATAAAATGAGGCTAACTTAGCTAGATTATTTAATGAGTTTATTTCATATTTAATGTTTATTTAAATACCACAGGACTCCATTTCTTAACATTAGAGAGTGAAACTGATTAGACAGTTGACAGGCAGAGAGGCTCATACTGAGAAACGCGTGGGTCCCTGGAGCAAATATAAGTGGGAGCTTGTTTGAGAGCAGACAACCCGTAACATGTAAGGCTGAGCAGAATCTGAATTTTATATATTTAAATTTTGACTTTAGGGAATTTCATTTTTATTCCCACTTAGCATGTGAACAATTAGGTTCTAAGACGGTTAAAACGATATGGAGACACTTTTTAGCATTTAGTTGAGAAACTTTTTAAGTAATCAGAAGTGTCTGTGTATAAAAATAAAGAGAATAATAAAAATATTAAAAGATATTAGAAAGGGTGCCATAGTGTTTTTATAAGACGATAAGTGTCTGTGAAGGGATTTTAGTTGAATGAATTTCTTTCCTTATTGGAAAAGCAGGCGACAGGAGATTGGAAATGTTCTGAAAAACTGAACACTCTGCACCCACCTTACATCGTCTTTACTAGACTTTCACACTTCAGTTAAAAACGCTGAAGCTGAATGTCAGTAAGGGAATGATCCCAGTCCATAAACAGTGCTCTTGACATTCATCTTTTATCCCTGAGCCATGTTATCTCAAGAGAGATTTCAATTTTGTTCACTATCTATACATGTCTATATTTCTAATGTCCAGAGCCATCCTGGAAAATCCTCCTTTTTCTTGGCCGTTGATTAACAGAGAGCTCCTGTTTTCAGGTCAAACCATCACAGAGGAAGCATGGATTCAATATACAAAAAATTAATTTACTGTATTTTAGACATAATAGTTTACCTAACATTTCTGTCAATATATTTTTATTCCATAACTATGTACACACATATTTAAAAAACAAAACAAAACATGTGATCCTATTAAATGTTTTAATAACAGTCCCAAAGTATATTTAGTTTTATGGTGCATAAACACCTCTGTTTCATAAAACTTTAATTTTTTTTGATAATTATAAATTATGCCATAAAAGATTAATTATAAATTTAGTTTTCCTTCAGGCCAGGGATTAGCATGGTAAAGGACGACTCATTAATATCATCTTAAATATGTTTCTCTCACTTTACTTTGCAAACCAGGACCGCCCTCAGCTCCTCGGAATGCCATCTCAAATGTTAATGAAACTAGTGTCTTTCTGGAGTGGATTCCGCCTGCTGACACTGGTGGACGGAAAGATGTGTCATATTATATTGCATGCAAGAAGTGCAACTCCCACGCAGGTGTGTGTGAGGGGTGTGGCGTTCATGTCAGGTACCTCCCCCAGCAGATCGGCCTGAAAAATACCTCTGTCATGATGGTGGACCTACTTGCTCACACAAACTATACCTTTGAGATTGAGGCAGTGAACGGAGTTTCCGACTTGAGCCCAGGCACCCGGCAGTTTGTGTCTGTAAATGTAACCACGAATCAAGCAGGTAAGTGTCATGCCCAGCCCAACTACATATTTTACACTTAGCTCTGCCAGTTGCATCCATGGCTGATTTTTAAACAATGAAGTCGTGTGAGAGAATGTCCCCAGCATACAGAAGGTCAGACATAAACAACAACAACAAACAAACAAACAAACAAAAAACCCTACATCTCAGAGTATATTTTTATTTAAAGGAGAAGTTAAGGCTTTCTTAGTACAATCATCCATAGCCCAAAGACAAAAGAGGTATGTGACATATTTTATTAAACATACATTTCTGGAGTAAATCATTTATATTAAACAATCATTATATATCTATAAACAAACATATCTACATATAGAGAGAGTATGTTTTATGTTGTAAATTTATATTTTTTGTTGCTTTATAAACTTAATTTGTATTGCATGCTTTATTTTCTTTTTGGTTTCTTACCTAACACCACAACTGGATTTTCTTTGCAGGTTATTATGGCCTTTTATAATTTTTCTATTTTATTCAATTATATGTGATTTTGTTTTTACCAAATCTGCTTATAAAAATAGAATAATTGTTAGGCACTATAAAAACTCCTCAAGACACATCTATTTTCTTTTCTTTTTTTTTTTTATTTACTTTGTATCCCAGCCATAGCCCTCTCCCTTATTCCCTCCCAATCCCACCCTCATCTCCTCGCCGACCCTTTCCAAGTCCACTGCTAGGGGAGGTCCTCCTCCAACAACTATTTTCAAGTTGCAGTCTCGGGATTATAAAAGTGTAGATGCTGGAGAGAAAGGTGTAAAGTCCTGTTTGAGCTGAAGGTGATTCTTTAGCACTCCCTGTATATGCTCTCTTTTACACTAATCAGCCTGGGATTCTCTTCTAATAATTCATCTCAGTAGGTGATCAAACCTCCCTAAGTAAAAGAAAGCCTTGAAATCTGCCTCTGTGCCAACACGCGACAATAGTCACAGAACTCATCACATGTTCAGTAATGCCATTTGAAGTCACAAAAATGGAGAGTTTAGTGCTGAAGCCTCTGGCTTCTAAAGTAAAACCTTTAACTCTTTGACCATACTTGATTCAAAAATGAGCTACACAAAATCATCTTCCAAATAATGAGAACTCACTGAGTTGTATCGACTCTTGGGAGAAATATGGTAGTTTTCATGATCCTAACATCTTTATAAGATACTCGTTAATGATAAGCTATATGAGAGAATTCCTTTATCATTTTAGGGACATTATCAATGAACAAAATATATTATGGTTGTCTTTGATTTATTAGCTTTTTCTGATTACAAGGTGTGTGGTTTCAACCTTCAGTATGTGAAATTACAATAAGTAATTTTTCATCCAGTAGCCACGGCACATATATCCTGTAATTGGTAATATTTGTATTCAGAGAGATATTGTATGGGCTGTAATTGTTTGACTGGGTGTCATACTTAAGATCACAGCACACTTAGCCCTCAAGTTTACAATAGTTTTCTCAGCATCACTGCTTCAGGTCAAATAAGATTCAACTCCATATAGAGTGTTAATTTCAAGAGTCTTTTAAAAAGTCTTCCGTGTAGATTTAGCTACCACAGCTGATCCTCATCAAGTTCCAGTTTCACAGGAACTGGATTTTGTAGTCAGATTTGATGATTGTATTTTTAAGAATCCAGTTTAATGAAGCTTTTTTTTTAATTTATATTTTAAATAAAAACACTTTTAGCATATTTTAACTTAAATTTCAAATTCCTCTCATTTATGTTGTGATTAATTTTTTAATTTTGTGATTAATTTCAACTTAAAAGTCAAATTTCTCTTGTTTATTTTGTGATTAATTCTGTGTTTTCAAATTTTATTTGTTTCAACATGTGTTCTGATATTTTCAGATTGGTGTTTTTTGTGTGCAAGTAAAATATAAATGAACTTGGCAAAAATGCAGTGAGAAAATAGTTATTCATTCAATGCGAACATTTTGCATTAATCTGGGAATAAAAACTGATTAGCTAAATTCAGCTATGAAACATGAATAAATGATTAATGTGTGGATACTTATTCAAAATTTAAAACATTTTCCAAAATATGATAATCTGAGAAGTTATTTAAATATAAGTGATACTTCTTTGCATTTAAATTAATGAAGTGACATGTTTTAAGAAAAAAACTTAAATAGAATTATCCTAAACATATAAATACTTTTATAATATAGTTATAGACTAACAGGAAATAATTCTAATACTTTTGTTAAGGTTTCTTTGGTCAACAAGAGTCACTCATGAGAAGGAGCAAGACTAGGGGAGGGGCATAGGGGGAGAAGAGGGAGAAAGGTTGAGATTGGGAGGAGATAAGGGAGGAGCCACAGCCAGGATACAAAGTGAATAAATTGTAATGAATGCTAATAAAATAAAATAAAACAAAATGTATTAACTGTAAAATTAAAGAAAAACAAGAGAGAGGTAGATGTAACACAGTGGAAAAGAGTGTAAGTTCTTGGGAAGGAAGAATGGCAGAAAAACAGAATCTGGATGCACTAAGGTCCAATGAACTCTTGTTCAACAGGAAAGCAAATGAAAGAATGGATATGCATGCATTTGCAATGGTTATGCAAACACTTATAAAAGTAAATAAAATAGTAAAGTGTTTCGTGTTCTATACTAGTACTGTGTATCTTTATTATATAATTATAACTCTTTTAAAAGTTAACAATATTTCTTTATCAAATACGTATTTAGATTTACTTACAACATTAACCTTTTCAGTTGTATCCTTTTAAAAAATTTAAAACATATATATTTCAATAGCACGACCTATAAAATACAAGTTCTACTTTTAAAGTTTAATTTTCTGTCAATAAAAGCAATATTGTATACGTGTAATAGCCTTGCACGCATGTTTTTTTTTTTTTTTTTTTTGGTTTAAAATAATTTTTCAATGGCTATATTCCCATTAAGATTTCCAACTTGAAGATACCTGATAAAACAGAGTCAGATGAAAGGGGAGGAGGTCCTCCCCTATCAGGGGACTTGGAAAGGGGCAGGGAGGAGACCAGGGAGGGAGTGTGGGGTTGGGGAGGGAATGAGGAGCGGGATACAGCTGGGACACAGAGTTAACAAAATGTAACTAAAAATAAAAATAAAAATAAATAAATAAATAAAAATAATGTTTTTCAAAAAAAAAAACATATCAGGAATAGCACGCTTAACGCTAAAAAAAAAAAAAAAAAAAAAAAAAGATTTCCAACTTAAACTATACACAGAGACATATTTTATATACCAAACAATAAGCTATTTCTAAATAACACCTCAAAATTATTATTTGTTATGTTAGTCAGGGGTCATCATAGTAAAAGATGATTTATTAAAATGACGGTGGTCCAGCTAATCCAACAATGGCTATCAATGAATGGAAGGTCCAAGTATCCAGTGGTTGTTCAGTCGACAACAGTGGAACCCGAAAATGATAGGCTCTAATTCTAGTGAAGGGATGGACTTACAAGCAGGCAAAGAGCAACAGCTTCTTTCTTCCGTGTACTTACATAGGCTTCCAGCAGAAGATGTGTCCTACACAGAGGCATTGTCTTCCTACTTCAAAACTCTAGGTCAAATGTTTGTCTTCCTACCTCAGAGATTCATATTAGAAGTGGATTTTTCCCTTTAATTAAACAAAATCCCTCACAGATGTGCCCCATTTTGTGGTTTTAGTTAATTCCTGATGTATTCAAGTAGACAACCAAGCACAACCTTCACACTAATTAACATTCAAAAGTACAGAATTTTAATTCACATAGGTAACAACATTCAGTAGAGCACCTCCTATGTCTGATGTAATACCACAGCCCCATAACCTCCTCATACAATCAACAATGTATCTAAGGCCTGTGACCTCTATAACGTGAGGAGTTTTATTTCCTGGCTGTACTTCACACAGCATTTCATGGACATGTTGTACCTTCAGGGACTGATCTTAATCATAATGCAGCAGTCAAAATTTTCCCAATCTCTCTTTCTCCAGAACAAGCTAGAAATAATCAAAGATATGTAATTAAATCTAGGAACAGTCAAAGATGTGTAATATATAATCATATTGAAGAGCCTTTCTTCAAGTTAAAAGATTGTCTACTCAGTTAAAGGATTGTGAAGTGGAAATGTATATCCAAATATGAGAAGTGTTGACAAGTCATGAATAAATAGACCACTGAATTTTTATTCCACAGATTTTTATATTATTGGTGGTACAGATCTTAAGACTCATTATTCTAGTCTAGACATGTCAGGTTTTTTTGTATATTTTAAAGCTCAGCTTCTATGATTATTATGGGATTCATAGTTTTCTTTCCCTGAGAAGATGCTATTGATTCCTTTTGCCTCTCCTATCTTGAGCCCTTAAGTAATCAAGAAGTAGTTTCAGCATAATTTCAAATTCCATGGCCTCAAGTATGGATATCAGAAATTGTGAAGGTTTCAAAAAATTGTACTCTCCTTATATATATATATATATATATGATGTTATGAAGAAAATATCCAACTCTTTCTGAAGATGCATATTTTTTTTTATTTTTTAACCAAATTCTATTTTAAAATTGCTGTTTGTAAGTTGCTGGAATTCTTTTTCAATAGTAAATTGGGGAACCCTTAGTGGACCGCATTTCATTCCAAATTTGATGAATTAATTGATAAATATTTAACACCTATGCCAGCTCCAAGGAGGAGCACTAGTCTCTACTCCCATATTTATGGCATGTGGAAAACAAATCTTTTCAGCTTCTTCATCAGAAATGTATAAGGTTTACTCTCATGGCTTATCTCTCCATGATTTAAAAAAAATAATTGTGGAATCATGGAAAAATCGTATTCCAGAAATATTTGCTGCTAATACTAAGCAGATAACTGACTCCTAGGAGAATGATAGAATGTTGAAAACACATGGGATAGCATCAATGGCAAAGGAGGTTTGCCTTCTACTAGTGCATATGCTCTGAAGAAGTGTGTCTGTGTAGTGCAAAACAAATAGAGGGGAGAGGTACTTCAACAGTC